CCACCTACCTCCCCCCATCTCTGCCCTTTTAGCTCCCCGCCTACCCACCACCAACAGCTGCCTCTACCGCCCGGTAATGCCTGCCACCACGCCCACCGCACTGCGTGCCACTACTGGGTGGGGCCTTCTTTCATGCCAGGCAGAGCCTTCTTTTGCACGCCAGCCAGAACCTCCTTTTGTGTGCCGGCCAGGTCCTTCATTCACACCAGTGCAACTGGGGCCTTTTTTCATGCCAGCCTTCTTTCACATGACAGCTGGATCCTTCTTTTGCAAAAGGAGATCCTGGCTGGTGCACGAAAAAAGGACCCAGCCAGTAGTGGCGCATGGTGCGACATACGCACACATGCATAGCTCTCATTCACTGGCCTGCAGGACATTTCCACGGTGCCTTCCCCATGCGTGGCCGGGATGGTTTGCCCAGAGGAAGGGAGGCAGGCAAAGATGATGATGGTCAGGTGGGGGAGCCATGGCGGGGGATGTTCATAAATCCAGGCAGGCCCAAATTTTGTTCACGTGACCGTGGGGGCACTCGCCAGCTGGAACTTCAATAACTCCCATCATTCAGCGCTGTCAAATGGTTGTTAAACAAGGACTACCTGTACAGTAAATTCCAGCCTATTCTTTTCTTTTCACTTTCTCTCTTCAAGCCCAGAAATGGGAGAGAGAAATGGAGAGAAAGGGGAAGGAAGCAGGAGAGAAAGAGGGGGATAGTCTCTGGGACTCTGGGAGGGAGACTTAGGCGGAAACCTGGACACCTGGTGAAACCCGTGTTGTATACACCTGTTGTAAATACCTTCTGTAAATAACATCACTGTATATAGTAAAAAACATAAAAGCCTCCATTGTCTGGCTTTTCTGCATCAATTGCCACCCTTGCAAAACAATATACCTCCAATTCAAGAAAGAACCCCATCATTTTGTGACAGGGCCACAATTACTTTTGTCAAGTCCATGCTTGCTGTGGATTCTCTAAGTACCCTGGACCTCCATCTCAGGGCATGGAAATTAAAGTCACCTAGGACCAGAGCTGAGTGAAGAAAAGCAGCCAAAGCAGCAGGCAAACAGGAGGAAGCAAGGAGATTGAATGCGGATTTCCAAAGAGCAGCAAGGAAAGACAAAGAAGTTTACTGGGACCAGAGCTGCAACCAGCTAGAAGAGGACTGCATTAAGGGCCACATCAGGAATGCATTTGTGCAAGTCAAAAGGATTCGAACACCATTTACTGCTCATAAAAGCATCATAAAAAACAAGCAAGAGAAAGAACTGTCTGACCAACAAGATATCAAGAACAGATGGCAAGAATATACAGAAGAGCTATATGACAGCAGAAAAGAGGCCCAGCTTCCTACGCATGAGGAGGAAAGGGAAGCAGAAATAGAACCAGCCATCCTTCAGGAAGAAGTTGTGTGGGCAATGAGCCAACTGCCAAACAACAAACAGGTGTTGATATCATCCCCACAGAATTGCTGTGGCCTGTACCACCCATAACCATCACAGCCTTGTGCCAGAAAGTTTGGGAAATGAAGGATTGGAAACGATCAGTGTTCATTCCATTGCCAAAAGAGGGTGACTCCAAGGACTGCTCCAATTACTGCACAATTCCCCTCATCCCTCACACAAGCAAGATTCTCCTTAAGATCATACAACATCTAGCACCAACCATCAAAAGAGAATTACCAGGTTTTCAAGCTGGCTGCAGAAGGAGTCATGGCACTTGTGACCATATTGCAAATCTATGCAGGATCATGGAAAAATCTCAAGAATATTAGAAGAACATCTACATCTGCTTTATTGACTACAAGAAAGCCTTTGATTGTGTTGATCATGAAAAGCTGTGGAGAGCCCTAGAAGATCTGGGAGTGCCAACACATCTGGTCAAGTTGGTGCAGTCACTGTACACAAATCAGGAAGCCACTGTGCAAACACCATATGGAGACACTGATTGGTTCAAGATAGAGAAAGGAGTAGGGCAAGGTTGCATTTTTTCACCTTTCTTATTCAACCTGTATGCTGAAGTGATCATGAGGAAGCTGAAACTTGAAGAATCAACAATCAGAGTAAAGATTGGAAGAAGGAACATCAACAATCTTTGATATGTTGATGGCACAACTCTCCTCTCAGAAACCAAAGAAGGCCTGAAACATATGATCAAAAGGATTAAAGAAAGTGAGAAATTTGACCTCTTCTTGAATATCAAAAAGACCAAGCTCATGACCACTGCAAGGAATGGAAATGTCAAATTAGCAATTGATGGTGAAGAGATCGAATGCATGCAAGAATTCACTTTCCTAGGATCGCAGATTGATCAAAGCAGTGAACGCAGTCCAGAAATAAAGCATTGAATCACACTAGTTTGCACAGCAATGATGAGCATGAATTGAATATGGAAAAACAAAGACATCACCCTGGCCACTAAAGGCAGATTAGTCTGCACTATCGTGTTTCCCATAGCTACCTATGGTTGCGAAAGTTGGACCATGAAAAAACTAGATAGGAGGAAAATCGACTCATTCAAGCTGTGGTATTGCAGAAGGCTCCTGCACATTCCTTGGACAGCAAAGGTGACAAACAAGCAAGTTCTGGAGTACATAAAACCTGATATATCACTGGAAGGCAAAATCATAAAATTCCGCCTTACTTATTTCGGCCATGTCATGTGATCAAACTCACTGGAAAAGGCAGTTATGCTCGGAATAGTCAGCAGTAAAAGAAAACAAGGCCATTAAAAAACACATAAAATAACTGAAAGAAGCTGTACAAGATCGGAAAATGTAGAGAGAGCAGGTCCATAGAATCACCAAGAATCGGACACAATTAAACTGATAGCATCATCCTCAGGACCAGAAGCCTCAGGGCAGCTAGGTGGTGGGTACACGAGCATTAGCCCAAGGTTCCAGAGGTCCTTCGACCCTGCCAGAGGCCACATTTGATCATGGCTACCCCTCCTCCCTCACATCATGCCACAGGATCTGAGACCCAGGACAGATTTCTGTTAGGATTACCATACTGTGTCCTTTTAACTTTCTAATTTTCTAGCCCCTATGAAAAAAAAGTGGATTTCAAGCGTAGTTTTCAAATGTGAAACATATCTTCAATATATGAATCAAGCTTCACAATGATTTCTCAGTGCTAAAAGGAATGATCACAATATAGCAGAATTAGTATTTTTTCAAAAGCTTTGAGCATGGGTGAACCCTTGGAGTACAAACTTATATCTTGGATATTTTACATAATTTTGTACTTGCATTCCAATATCTCATCCTTCAAGGTGAATTCTGATGTCTTTATACTTGCCTAGAGTCCCTATGACAACACTGAAACCGATGCTACCTTAAACTGTTTCTTTGAAACCCTGCACAAAACTCACATTTTTCATATAGCCTTTGACTCTGTTTGGAGAGGGCTGTTTTAGACTAAGCACTTCAAGGCAGAGATCTAACTGTCTTTTCCCCCTTTTTTCCCTATATTACTCTGAAAAGGAAGTCTTCACTGTTGCTCAAAAGAAAAAAAAGATAATTGGATGTGAAACAAAATGTCAGACTGATTCCTTGCTTTCATGCAATTCTTTAGCATGTGATTGCCTCATTTTTAGAGAATCACTTGAGTGTACCTAAAATTATGTTAGCAATACCCCATATACCATATACTTTTGAAGAGATTCAATATGAAGCTCTAGATTAAAAATTACATAACTGCATGCTCTTTGATGCAAATGAGGCCAAACTGGGAGCAAAAAGAGAGACTTTAACATTCAGAAATAGGAGATGAATAGTACATGATTAGATGGACATTGCTTGCTCCATTATTAAAAATAAATCAGTTCTTTTGTTCTGATGAACCTTCTGCTCTATTTGCAGGGAATTATATTAGCAACAGAAACTGTAAGAATCTGTCCAAATAAATTAAGTAAAGCTAGGCAATAAAATAATGAAGGCCCATTTAAAACCTCACTTGGACAACAACAAACAAAATTCTCTATTTTTCAGTTATGAGAAACAGTTAAAAACTAATCACAGCTTTAAACTGGAAAGCAGTGTATTAATCCAATTAAATTTTCTAACACATCTAAATTATTTATATAGGATATGAAATACTATATAATAATCTGTAAACTCTAATCTTGATACTCCAACAGAAATCAGTATTTCCCAAACTTCCAATGGCAAAGGAACATTATTTTCCAAAATTAAAATCTGCATATACAGTACAGTCTTAAGACTAGTTTCATGCACTGCAATAGCAAGTTTCTGAATAGATTATTTTAATTTGAGACCATGGTTGCCAGTTCTGGATGCCACATTTTAAGAACACTGTTGGACTGGAGTGAGCCTAAAAGAATAACCAGGAGAGCATGATGCCTGGAAATTACATTCTTCAAGAAGCAATAGAAAAAGGTAGGTATTTTTAGCCTGAATAAGAGAAATGAAATGCAATAAATAGTTCTCAAATCTCTGCAGATGGGCACTAATTCATTGGAGACTAGATGGCAATCTGCCACAGATGCTGTAGTTGCAAGAACCCTGCACTGAGGTATTTTCAACCTCTAAAATTTTGTAATTCCAAGTAAAATTATCAGATCTGGGCTGCAAAGATAACAGCAAATTTCATTTGCTCTTTTTGCTGCCATTCTGTAGTCACCTAGATTTTTGCAGCTCACATCTGATAGCCTAAGTCCATTTCATAAGGCATGGCTATAGATATAGTTCTTAATTAGATGGAAGCAGCTATCAACATTGGCTTATTCAAAGGGGAAACGGGGGGAGAGCCTTTCAGGATGACAGGTAATTTTGCTGCCTTTTTAATTTAGCTGCAGAAGAATCTGTCAGCTGAGGTTGCAGTGCAAGCAGGTCATGCAGAAAGAGAATGATCCCAAACATATCCTAACCATTGCTGTATTTCCCCTACAATATCACATTTTCTTGAAAAATATCTTGCAATCTGTAATATTAATTTGACATATCTAACAAGTACCCTTTTGAGACTTTGTGCCAGTTATTTACCGGGATGCAATGCTCCAAGTAGACCACAGGATGGTGCTATTTGCTACATTCTTGTGATCTGCATTTTCCTTTTAAGAAGCTGTTTTATTGCCATCTGGACAGTCTTGGAATTTATCCTCTTCCTCTTTGAATGACTGCATTTTGAAACATAAACTTTTTAAGTTTAAACTTTTACAATGTATTGGTTTTTTTAAAAAATATAATAAAGTTTGATTAGGTTTATCTCTAATGAGATTGATCTATTTCCCATGGAGGAAAGGAAGGGTTCAACCACCTAGTCACAGGACTCCATGCTATGCACATAGCCAGAAGGTTCCGGTATTGAAAATAATTTGCATTTTTACTTTTTAATTGCCAGTTAGGCAGCATAGGTTGCGAGAGCCCCATCTCACACACTGGATTTAGGAAGTGGATGTTAAGTGAAACGTCTCACGGAAGATAGGTGATGGTAGTAGGAACTACCAAGCCACTTCTCCAAAACAGAAGGCGGGGTCAGAGCGTGAAGACCCAGAAAAGATGCTGAGATCTACCACCTTCCATCCTATGGGCTCAGCCTGTCCAATTGCAGTGTGTGACACTGATCCCAGTTACAGAGTGTTTGGGTTTCAGTTAATGCAGCTAAAGTTGGTGCAACAGCTAACAGAGTCGCTGAGAGGCACCGAAATTAAATAAACTCAACTACTGAATCTAAACGGAGCAATTACTTTTTCACACTAGTACACTATGTACTGGATGACTTTGTTTACACCGAACTAAAACAAGCACCAAACGTTGGTGGTGTTCATGCAGACCTTCTTTAGGTAGGACTCTGATAACGTTCAGCGGGCAAAGATATGCAAAACTTCAGAAAATCCCCAAAGGGGCAAACGCTTTCTCACAACCCTGCAGGTTGCCACGCGCTTCCTAGGAGCAGGGCCCACTGAACTCAAGGCTACATACATTTGAGGAAGCATCTTCAGGACCGCAATGCTAATGGCCTTCAAAACGCCACAGCCGTCTTCGGGGTTCCGGATTCCTGGAGTTTCTCCGGTAGGAAAGCGAGCCGAGAGGGGAGGCGTCTGAGCGCGGCCGAGGGAGACATTTTCCCACTCGGCGCTACCACCTCCTCTCTCCCCCTTCCGAGCCAGCGGGCCATACAGCAAAACCGCCCTCGCCGCCTTCTCGCTCCAGCAGGGGGAGTGGGCGAGCGGAGGCCATGGCTGCGCTGAGGGGAGGCGGGGGGGAGGAGAAGACGCAGGTACGTATGGCGCCCGTCCGTTCGGGACCTCCTCCTTGTTCCTCTCCGCACCCCCGCTTTTGTTCCCGCAAGCAGGAAGGGGGAAGACATGGCGCCGGCCGTGAGGAGAAGCGGGGCGAGCGAGAGCAGCCGCGGGTCCTGCCCAGCCAGCCTGGAGACGCGGCTGCGCGGCTCTGGCTGAGCCGTCCTGTCTCGCTTTCCCGTCTCCCTGGCCGAGGCTTGGCCTTCTCCTCCTCTCTTCCCTCCGGGCGCGCTCGCCTCGCGCCAGTCCCCCGCCGCACAAAGCAGCTCGGCGGGAGGGAGGCGCTCGCTGGACGCCGGCGTTTGGCTCTGGCGCAGCCTCCCGCTGCCTTGGCCTGCCTTGGCGTAATGGGCATTTTCCCTGTCGTCGCCGGAATCGAGTGTGTGTGTGCGCGCATTTATACGTGTGCGTAATTATGCATTCACTTAGAAGGGGGAAGGAAAGCCCTTGTTTGTTGTTGCTCCTGCAGTTGCCAAGTGAGGAGAGGCGAGCTGAGCTGATTTTTTTTGTAGTTGAGTTTTGTGCTTCTTATTTTTAGGCCACTGGGAGTTTTTGACCAGTTATTGTGTGCCTGAAAGCCCCAGACAGCCCGCAAGTCGTTGCAACAACTCTGAAATGTAAAGACAGGTATGTGATTCCTGCCGACATCGGTTAGGTTTGTAGATGTGAAAAGAGTGAAGTGATGTTGCCACTTCTGGAATCAGCTCCTGAGTTGTGCTTTTAAGTAAGAGTTGGATGTCCCAGTATAAGCCAATGATGAAAACATTGAGTGACACTTTCTGCATATCTTGAAGGCACTAGTGCAAACATATTCCTATTTTCTGATTAGCTGGCAACAATAGGGCATGCTGTAAATAAAAACTTGGTTTTGACCAATGCAACATAGATTTAAATCTCCACAAACCTTCATATACAGGTATGATACACTGATAGATGCTATAAATCTCAGGTTGAAGGCGATCTGTGAAGGTCTGCATAGGCCAACAGTCCATTTTCTTACTTCAACATGAGTACAAAATAATTTAATATGTGACTGATTTTGCTGTCTATACAATTAACCATGTTGGCGTTTTTTCTGTTCTATTAGATAAACAGTTATATTTATTTTATATCCCAGCCTTTTTGTCAAGGATGCCTTTATCTTCACCATGAAGGATGGCTAGGCTCTGTGAAATCCATGGCTGAATGAAGACTTGAAAATGTATTTATAGATGTAGTCTGATTTTCCAACAATAAGAAAATTTTCCACATCACAGTAACTCTAAATTTAGCAAGCATTCTTGTGCCAACGTAATTTGATCCAAAAGTTTATCTTGAGACGGATAACCCACAACTCTTTCAGATGCCAGAACATGGCTTCAGGGGCACACTGAACCCATATTCATGTGGATATTTGTCCATCCATATGTATGAGTTTTAATACATAGATCTGTTTACAACTCCACTATATGTTACACCCTTACATGTGCATAGGAGCTCACATTTTAAAAAAAGTGTCCTCATGCAGGGAAACAGGTTAGAAAGGCTCAGGTTTTGTTGCTATGCCAGTGGGAAAAGGAACCATTTTCAGCTGCTTCCTTGAAGGGGAGGCCAAATTGATTGTTAGTTGGTTGATCAGCAGGACAAGTGAAATTGGAGTAAGTGCAGGGTGTGAGGGTCTGTTGTAGTGGAGAATGAGTCAGGATTAGAGATGTGCAAAACATTTTGAATTTGAAATATTTTAGGCTTGAAACACTCTATTTTGAAACAATTATTTTGAGTTTCAGGTGAATTGTTCTAGCCTTATCAGAAGAATTCTGACACTATTTCAACCATTTTCATATTATTCCAAGCTTAAAACGGTCTTGAGTTCAGAATGGGTCAAAACGGGGCTGGAACATCTCCAGTAAAGGCACAGTAGCTATTTTCAAGCTTGTACCATTTCAGATTTCAAACATTTCACACTTCACAACTAAGGACAAGACACAAAGAACCTGGAGGGTCAGTAGAGACTTGGGTGGTTTGGGGGGCACATTACATGTCCATGAGTGCCATATTGCTGATCCCTGAATCAAGCAGACCATGAAAAACTCATCAGGGATTGAGGTGTCCGGCAGGGAGAGAAATTGTTTAAAGTATGTGTTCCCCTGAGAGTCAGTTTAATTATATATATATGTGTGTGTGTGTGTGTATGTAGTAATTAATTAATATTATTTTGTTACTTGCTAAGAAAACCAGTATTCCAAAGCGCATTTATTAAGAAAGTCTTACGTTTCTAGTTTTTATAGGTTTTAAATGGTAAATCACATTAAATATTATAGTAGAAAGCTCTGGAATTGTGTTTCACTTTTTTTACTAACAGACAATTGAAAATAGGGGTGCATATTTATTGGAACAAGGTAATCAAGGTTTAAAGAGTAGCTATCTTGATGATTCTTACTTTATTGCTACAGAAAACAGAAGAAAAGGCAGATCTCAAGAAAATATAATGCGTAATCTGGTATGAAAAAGCCCAGTTTGGGAAAGGCAATATAGTAGAAGTCCATTGGCTTTTTAAAGAGTGAGTTACAGAGGCTCTGGAGTTTAAAGTGATGTATGCATTTACAGTACTTCTGAAAAACACTGCTTTATTGGTAATATTTGGAAAAATGCACTTTTAGTAAAATTGCTTTCTTTTTTTGTTCTCTTTCCTCTTTAGAAAAATGAGATTCAGCCAAAATTTGAGTAAATAAGTATGGGCCCAGATGTGCCTCTGTTGAATGACCACAAGCAAGAATTCCTCTTAAAGCGATTTCCACAGACTGTTTTGGGTGGCCCTCAATTTAAGTTAGGATACTGTGCACCTTCTTACATCTATTTGAATCAGATTCTTCTCTTCTTGATACCATGGGTTCTAGGTGGAATTGGGACGCTTATGTATCAGCTAAGTGTTTTGCAAGACTATTGCACCGCTGCACTTTCTGGAGGACTAATGCTTGTTGCAGCTATTACTGTTCAGGGAATAAACTTGTATGCCAGGCAAAAAACTGCACCCATAGAAAGAATGCACGTCCACAATATACTAATGGAGGAAGATGAGTGGGAGTTTTCTAGCTGTATAGGTTTGGAGACAATCAAATTTATTATTCCAGGCAAAAAATACGTAATTAACATATTTTTTCACTCACTTCTTGCTGGAGTACTATGTGGCTTAGGAACTTGGTACTTGCTGCCAAGCAGAATTGCCTCCTTGTACGGAGATAATATTGGAACAACTATGGTGATCTTCATATTTGGATGGTTGACAGTGTGCATTGGCGAATATTCCTTAATTGTTAATACTGCTTCAGAGACTGCTACTTATCAACCACTGGACACTTATGAAATTGTTCCTCTTATGAGACCATTCTACATTTTTGTCTTCATTGCAGTGGATCTTGCTTACAGGTAAAAATATACAAACACTGTCTGCAAAATAATGACTATCTTGTGCTTTTAAAGGATATTAATCTAGCTCTGTAACAACCTTTCTGATGCACTTGGGTTTATTTATAGATACAATGAAGTGGTGGCAGAACCATATTGAAATACAGGGTTCCCATTTTTTTCTGTTCCAGAAATAATATCCTTTTCCACTTTCATTTAGATTTGTTGCTGATGTTCCAGTTTTAAAGTTGGTCAATCAGGTTATGCACATCATATTTTTGTCTTTGCCTCTCTTATGGACTTTGGGGATTCTGCCTCCATTGGATGCACTTTTTCTCTGGGGAATGGAACAAGTGTTGGAACTTGGTCTAGGAGGCTCGCCTATGTCAAGTAATGTAAGGTAAACATTTTACATTAATTCAGTATTTCCAGATGGGTAAGCATGTTAGCAACAATTTAAAAAATCTCGTAATATCTCAAATGTGAAAATATTTATTCTGGTATAAGTTTTCATGGACTGTGACCAGTTCATAGTTGTATAATTACTGAGGGGCAGAACAAGCCATTAGTGAAATCAGATAAAATTGCCTGCATTTTATTTTCTTGTGATTTCAGTGGTTATACTCTACACATAAGCATTATTCAGCCTCTTACAAATATCATCCTGAATAGACTTAACACTTCATTTGTCTGATGAAGTTTCCACAAAATATTATTAAAGGTGCATAAGATTCTTTATAAAACACTGTAATTCAGTTATAGACATCCTATACCTTCTCAGATAAATGCAGGTATCCTGGCTTGTCCTGAGTCCTATACTGTAGAATATTTCCTAATAGAGTATTTGAATAGTCAAACCAATTACCGTGGGAGGTATAAACTTCTACTTTGCTGGTTATGTTCCTGCAGAAACTGGAAGCCATCTATTGTGGATGCTGTAATTTGGATCCCTGTTTGAATAAAGAATTATACCAATCCTTTTCAATTCTGTAATTGTATGTGGGCTGCTAAGGTGTCTTCTGAATACTTTAGTATTATTAAACCTGCAAGCCTTTGCTTAATCTATATCTTCAGTACTATATAGCAGGATGTGACTGCATTATGTATAATGAGCAGAGTGTCATAGAAAGAGAAGCTGAGTCTCAGATTTAGTTGAAGTGGGAAGAAAATGAGTGAAAATAGGTGAACTGTTGGTACAAATTCTTCCTTTCAAACATATTTTTTCCCTTATTACAGGCTGGTAGCAATGTTTATCATTTCTTTGGGAACAGCTATTGCATCTTACTTCATCCCTAACACGCTTGGTGTGGTTCTGTTCATGACTGGATTTGGATTTATACTGAGTCTTAATCTAAATGAGATTGGATTAACCTTCAAGTACGCTATGATCAGCTGTTTAGCTTCCAGCAAGTTTAAAAACACATCTTCCTGTAGAACACAGTTTGTATGGAAGGAATTAATTTTCTATTTCATTGTATTGACTTTTGCTCTCCTGGAAGCTGGCTTGTTGCACTCCTTCCTTGGTTTTCAGACATTTTCCAAAACTAGCATCCAAGCTGTTATTAGTTACATATTAATAGTATTGCTTCTTGCTATGTGGATTCTCAGAGAGATTCAAACAGTGTATTTGTTTGGATTGTTCCGAAATCCCTTTTATCCAAAAGATCTAATGACAATGAATGTATCTGGAAAGAAGGAAAAGAATCTCAAGAAAATTGGTATATTAAGAAAGATTTTACTAACTTTAGGTAAGAAAACACAGTTTCCTCTATTATATAAGTGCATGAAATGTAAAATACATTTTGTGAAATGTGTTGAGAGGGGTATATACGTATTAATAGAGCAAGGGAAAAATGGTGATGGTCAGATCAGAAACTGAGTAAAAGCTCTATTTCTGAACTTCAGTGCTGTTTCATAAACTGATTTCCTTTCCCACCTTAAAACTTAATAGTTTTAAGTTTAATATTAACATTAAATGGTTAATAGCTGAGAGAGACTGAGGGTTTGCCTAAAAAACTTTGATTGTGAAGGGGCAAGCAGGTTATGCACCATAATTTATCATATGCAAACAGACGATATACATTCTGAGGCATTTCACATGTGGCATTCAGAAAATTATATTGGCCATTAGACAATGCTAGTATTATAGTTCATGCAAAAATACCAAGTTGTATGAAATACATTGGGTCATCTGACATCTCATTTATTAACCATGAAAAGGAAAATTGTTATCAAACATCTAACTATATTGCTCAATTCTTAAAATGTTCTGGTTTCCTCAGTCTACTGCTTTTCAAATGTTAGTGGTAGAATAATACTCTGAAGTTATATCACGTTTGGAGCTAAGATGTATTTGATCTGCATGTTGAATTTAGATTGTGACTCAACACTGCTTTCTGAAATTGAAAACTCCAAGTACTGAAATGATTGTGGGACATTTGATTGCTGCTAAGACCTCTCACAACAGTTTAGAATACTGCATGCCAGAGAGAATTTTCAGTATTCCCTCTTCCAAAGTACGTACTGCATCAGAAAACATCCACTAGAGAGCGTCACTTTTATTTATTTGGCAGTTTATACATATTCCACTGTTGCATCAATAAATGACATTTGTAAGAAAATAAGAACATAAGAAAACTTTATAAATTATTCGATCTTGTATTCACTTGCTTCCTTTTTTTTATCTTCCCAGAGAATTCCAAAGAGAGTACAAAATTAGAAAAAATAAAAATCAGAGGATTGTGCAAAAACTGCATATAGCTATTTATGCAGTTGAAGGTTTTGTACATAGTTCTTTGTATAACAGAAACATTGTTGTACTTTTTTTTTGTAATTTCAGTGTCACCATTTGCTATGATAGCATTTCTTTCCATAGACAATTCTCTGCATCATCTGTCATCCATTTATATTTCCATTGGACTTTCAAGAAGCTTTAGAATGGTAAATTTCAAATATTTTATGCTTTTTGTAAAATAACCCAAGACCTTGCAAAGAAACCATTTAACTCGTTAAATAAAAGAATATAACTCACTCTAATAAGAAATTAGTACTTGATCCGATGAAACTGAAATAGTAGAGAATGTTTTTTTCTATATGCTAGGCCCAGTTTTAAATTTAGACATCTCTAATTAAAGGGTTTTGGGGAGCATTACTAGGTAAATTATTGTTTGGCCTCGAACATGGCACTTTCTTGCTTCTGACACTAACACAGAAGTAAGGATGTGTTGTTAGGATTACTGTGTAGGAGCTTTCAGTATTTGATAAACATTGATACAATAAAATTCTGTTAACAGCCAAGGCTCACTGTACTCAGCCCAGTGAATTACTGTTTTAATGCAATATATTCAGATGTATACCACAACAGGTAGCAATACCTAGCTGAACTTGGCTGAATTTGGATTCTAAACAGGGTCATCTCTGATTAGTAGTTGGATGGGAGAAACCACTTAGGATTTTAAAGGCTGTTAGTTAGATGGGGAAATTTAAAAATATACAAGTAATCCTCAGTTAACAACAATTCATTCAGCAACTGTTCACATTTATGACAGAGCTGAATGAAGAGACTTACAGCCAGTCCTTGAAGTTGCAGCCATCACAGTGTCCCTGCAATCATGTGATCACAATTTGGGCACTTGGCATATAGCTCACAATTACAATGGTCGCAGCATTCCATGGTCATGTGATCACCATTTGTGACCTTCACTGCTGGCTTCCAACAAGTAAAGTCAGTGGGAAAGCTGGCAGGGGATTGCAAATGGCAATTACATGGCGTCGCGCCTAACAACTGCAACTGGAACTGCTATTGTAAGTTGGCACAGTCACATGACATTGCGCTTTATGATCTCATTGCTTAGGAACAGAGTTCCCAGTCCCAATTCCTGTTGTTAATTGAGGGCTACCTGTATTGGAATAAGCCAATGATGATGATATCTATAACTCAATGAATGCGTCCATGAAAAACGCAATGGTTTCATAGATATCAATTAACAACAGGAATTTTGAGGGAGACTCTGTGTTATGTGAATCTGTGTACATTCTGTGTCTGCAGGATTGTATCCCAAATTTCCTATACATTTCTTTTAGTCTGTTCCCAGAGTATTTTCTTGTTCTTGTTAAGAATATGAAGTGTCACATTTTGAAGTCAGAAACTGAAATGAAGACCATAAAATGTGGTAAAATGAAAAGAATTGTAAAGTAATATTGTTACCCCCTCTATTCTATTCTTTTGTCTTCGATGCTGGCTTTGCATGAGATGCAAGATTGTGGTGAGGCCAGTAAGTTTTAGGCATTATTGTTCTGAAAAAAGGATATGTGGTTGATCAGTCATGAACGGTAAAGTGTATCTTATAACTCTATAATGAAGCTACAAAAGTACTTTAATCTCTATTTTAGGTGTGGCAAGATACAGAGCATGCTCTGTTGGATATGGTGGTGGTGTCTACAGTGCAGTTGCTGGTGTTCACTACTGATCTGTGGTGGAACAAAAGCATTGATACAGGAATTAGACTCTTGTTGGTAAAACTGCTTTTATTTATAATATTTTATTTCTGCAGGTTTAACTCCCATTTGAGAAAGAAACTAGAGCCAAGGTGACAGCTATACTAGAACTTACTAGGTCAAACATCTATTTTTAAAAAATTACAGTTGTGGAATGCAATCCACTAACATGATTTCATTAGCAAATGTAGGTTTTGTTGGCTGATTTTGATGATAGATGATTCTCTTCTAGAGTCCCAAGTTATTTGCAGTCTTCTCTGGAATAAATTTTGAGAGCATGCTGCAAATTATAGGGATAGAAAAGGAGACAAAGCCTGTTGTGCTACCAGAAAGAAAATGGCATGATTTTTAATTTCATTCAGATTTGAAATAAATGTAAGAGTAGTAAAGCTGATTTTTAAAAGCCTGCCCTTTAAATTGTTTGCTGAAAAAGATAAATCTGCTGCCTAAAGTCAAGGGGTGAATGGTTCGAGTATACTTCTAATTGTCCTGATATCAGTGAAAATGTCCTGTCCTCCATAACCACCTGAGCAAGGCCTCAAAAGATTATCTTTGAAATTGGGCAGATTCATGTGGGTGTGGATAATTGATAAGGTATTCAAGTCTTGGGCCACCCACATCTTAAGTTTAAGACTCTCATTTTGAATTGAACTCTACGACATATTGACAAGCAGGATATCTGGCATATGTTCTGATTTGCCCACTTCAGTTAATCTGATAAAAGCCTTCTGATTTTTCAAAAGCAGTCTCACATCATTCTCTATTGGCACAGTTAATTTCCTTTTTCTACCCTCCCTTCAAAATCAATTCAGATTCTTCAATAGGAGTTCAGAAAGCTTGCTTTACTAATACAAGTTCAAGGGACTTGTATTACATAGCAAGGGAGTTGTTTCATGGACACTCCAAACACTTTATTAAAATGAAATCCCATGAACAAGCGTATTAATAAAGGAAAAACATTATTGCTATTTCTCTCTCACTAGGTTGGAATTATTCGGAGTCGGCTATTTCAGTTTGTTTCAAAATTGCAATTTGCAATCACTGTTCTCTTGACATCGTGGACAGAAAAAAAACAACGCCGGAAATCCACAACTACTCTGATTACACTGAACATTGTTTTTTTTCCAGTTGTACTGGCCCTCATAGTGCTCTCTTCATTGCTGTCTTCTCCCTTGCTATCACTTTTTAGTCTCCCAATATTTTTGATTGGCTTTCCCAGACCAGTCCGAAGCTGGCCAGGGCCTGTGGGCATAATGGCCTGCGTAGGTCCTGATGCTGTATATTATCAACAGATGATTCCAAGTTTGAGGACTGCACTGCAATCTGCATTCTCAACAGGCAGTTTAGGTAAGTTATCTAAAAAAATTGACTAAACACAACAGGACTGATTTACAGGCTGTTGTATGGTAATCTCATAGATGTAGGAAATTATTTGCTGATATAATAGATACAATAGAAATTTTGATATCATAGAAATTAAAATAAAATTTCTTTCTATAATTCAAAACTGATGCTTTGGTTTGCTTTTGGTTATATCAGATCTCTGTTCCATGAACTCAAGGTGGCCTACATAGTATTCCCTCATCCAGTTTAATCCCTGCAACAAAGTTCTAAGGGTAGTTTGGCTGAGTGATAGCAATTAGCCCAAAGTTCACCCAGTGCAGCTGAATGTAGATGATGGATTTGATTCTGTGCTGATTGGGGAGAGGAGAAAGAGAGAGGTGTTTGAAATGTGCTGAGGGAAATAAAGTATTAAAAACATTTTTTTAAAAAGTGTTCTTTAATGGGACTCTTGACTAGGTATTCTTAGCAGGATATCGCTTTATATTTTCAGGCTGAGCATATTTTATCAGTTTAGGCAGCAGTGTAGAATTAAGATTTTTTCTTCTAAAAGTAGTAGCAAGAGAATGCACTCTTCTTGCTCAGCAGGCCTGAAAAGGGTATTTAAAAATTTAATGACATAAAGGCAAGTTTCTTGAATTCATTTTTAGGGTATTCTGAAACTGAATTTTCAGCTATGCTAGTTAATATAATTGGGGCATGACTGGAAATTTACTAATGCAGTGATACACCCTAAACCTCTGCAGGTATATCAAAGAAAAGGAATTGATGTAAGAAGCATGTTACGTATAATAGTGGGATTTTATTTTAATAATATATTTGCAATTAATATTTTGCAGAAAATTGGAAAGCTTTGTTAAATTCCAGCTAAGATACCTGGAAATTATGTAGCTATTAAAATGTCATTAATTCTTCTGTCACTAGTGATGGAAAGGTTTCAGGAACAGTGTTTTTATCATTATAAGGTTCTATTTGTGTTATAAAACCACCTCATTTATTAAAATTTCTAAGCAGAAAAAAACTGAAAAAATTGCAAACTATGTTAATAGCCATGTATCTAGAATTCATCTCTATAAGCCTCATATAGTGATTTGAAAAGTGAAGCCATAATGCAGTCTAGTTTGTTTATATACCACTTTTCCAATTACTGTCATTAACATTATATGATTAACTCTTATTAAAATGTAGACAATGTGAATCAAAATAAATATCTTTGAGTAAAAACCTGATCCTTACTTTGGGATTTTTATTTCCAAAGGTTTCTGTTCACCTGGATCCCACTACTTGTGCCGATTTCAAGACAGACTAGTATGGATCCTTGTTTTAGAAAGAGGCTACACTTACTGCTGTCTTAATATCAAGGTAACTAGTATTAAAGCAGCATGTGCTGTTCTGCTGTAGTTCCTTTATATAGTAGTAGAAATCATCATACTTCTTAAATGTATAACATGTATGACCTAGCTTCCTACTATAATTGAAGAAAAAAGTTGAAAATAAAAGTTCACTTGATTCACTTAAAAGCTATTTAGTCAGAAACAACCATTTTTGCTGGCCTCCATTTATAGCTGTGATATGGTTACAATTGCTTGTTTAGCAATTATCACTGTACTCCACACCACTCCTCTATATTTTTAATTGTTGTTACCGGGTAAATAATAATATAGAGTTGCTATGTATTTTCATTCTTAGAGATCCTAGTCAGGGTTAGATTGTAGTTTGATGGGACAAACTAAGCCTGCAGTTCCAATTCTTGACTTCTCTGTGTAAGACTAAGAAAATTCCTATCTAGTAGCTGTTCTACAGGACTTCGGTCAATCCATACAAGCCTTTCTCAATGTGGTTCCTCCAACTATCTTGGATTACAACACCCATTCTCCTGGACCAGCAAAGCCAATGAGTTGTAATCAGCAAATATGTATAGTACTAGTTTGGGAAGGTTAGTATAGGCAACACTTGACGTGGATGAATCAGTACTCTGACTCAGTATGAGGCTGTTTCCATGAGCCTTATAGCACTGTTTAAGCTTTACTTGGAGAAATAAAGGAGAGGAAGATAAAAAAGAAGCTTTCTTCTCTCTTATTTTTCCTTCCCCACCCCTTCCAGCTAGGCTTTCCTTCTGCTGTGTTATATAAAATGAAGAAATCAGATATGGAGCTAGTTACAAATTATAATCGTTTGTATTTTAGCTCTTGCAATCCCATTTCTCTGCTGAAAATGCCAGAGATACAATTAATTATAAACACATTCTGAAAGTCAACATGAATAATCCATAGAAGTGCAAGAATATTATCCAACATTGCTGGCTGATATTCATAATTGTCCCATATAAGTTGATACCGAGATACTTTTTAAAGTTGTGCACACTCTGAAAATGATTTGGAATCATTTAAACATCACTTTATTTTTAATTAGCAGATTCCTTAAAACAGCAGCACCTTTTTCAGGTTTAAGCAGAATCCTGAAAAAGTTGGAGTATTTTAATGAATAGCAGAAAGGAGCTGTGTTTGTACAAGGACTGGAATGCTTTTTCCAAATCATTTTTTAATTATGCACTACCATAGTTATCACTGTATGATAATCACTAGTACAAATCTTTCTGCTGTTGTGGGTTTAAATGCAAAACAAAGAAGGAAATGGAAAAAGAACATGATGTGTTAGTATGGCTCATATGGATAGTATTGTTGGCTGATCAGGAACGTGATATTTTCTTCTCCATCTTCTTGCATATTGTTTTCATTCTTCTAATTCCAGGTTGTTGCAATACCCAAATCAAGTAGTGCTATAAATAGTAGTATCCTCAATATTATGATTTGGTATGTATCTGTAAATTGGTATGCATTCAACCAGTATCTGAACCAGTGTGTTGCTAGGTGTCTATAAAAGTACTTGAAACACTTTGGGTGATTTTTTTTTCTTTTAATCCAGGGTTTAGAATTGCAGGAAACGTCCTGTCATACTGCTGAAGCTCACAGAATTGATGATATTTTTGCGATGGCCTTTGAACATGAGGAATGTAGTCAGATTTTCTCTCTCAACCATCATTTTGGAAATATTTTAACACCTTGTGCTGTTCTTCCTGTGAAACTCTACTCAGATGCCAGAAATATCTTGTCTGGAATAATTGATTCCCCTGAAAATCGGAAGCAGTTGAAAGAAGACTTCATAAAAGTTCTCTTGTGGATGCTAATCCGTTACTGCTATAAGTCAAAAACACCTAGGACTCTTGAAAAGATGTCTAAATCCCAGCAGGAGTACTCTTCAGCAGAACCATCTGAAGTTTTAAACAAGGCAGTAGAAAGACCAGGTTCATGGAAAGATGAAGATGGCCTCAGTGTGGAATCAACAGAGGAGTGGACTGATGATAGCAATCTCTTTGATGCTGAACCCAGCAAAAAAACATTCAAAACAAATGTCACAGTATCACAAGGTGGTTCACCAAGACCTTTCTATTCTCTTCCGGGCTCAGTGGAAATACACACTACAGATGATGAAATAGCCAGTGTAAATAAACTCTATAAAACTGTTGTTCTTGGTCTTCCTGCTGTAGATGCTGGAAAACAGTGGGGAATTATGGATTTATCCCCCATTAAATTCAGTAACTTCTATTCTGAGCTGTTAAGCATTCCTGAAGAATGGAGAACTGCACCATTATCTGTTGCCAAATTCCATGAGATGAAACAGAAGTTTCCAGTAGAGTGGTATCATTTTTTACTTCGCCAGCTAGACCTATTTCATTTGAAAGAAAATCCTTTGAATTTACTTGAAGATCTTATTAAAGACACTGCTTTGAAGGATTTATATGTCCAGAGTGCTTTATCCTGTTATATTGCAATGTTTGGATTAGATGATACTGTTGTTTCTCCTGGTCATATTTTCAGAGCCTACAATGGAAGCCTTCCGTGGTCAGTCTGTTTGGACTGGTTAATAGGAAAGCAGGAGTTATATCAGCTAACACTAAAAACGTTCAGGTAATTAAGATAAGAATAATATTCTGGATATGAAACAGGTATGTGCCATATATCTGTATTCATATAAAAAGCAGCAAAAGTCAAGTTGTCTCTTGGTGTCTTCATGGACACAACTATGCAGTTTACAGTTTTTCAGCCTGGTATTTCTGGAGATCCCCCATCTGAATAATAATCAGGATCATCCTCAACTCTGGTAAGCATCTAAGTCTAGACAAGGCCAGGTAGATGCTGCCACCTGAAGAAACATATATCCTACATATCATTCTGTAATCATTTAACTACTTTAAAATATGTACAAGCCTGTCATATTCATAATATGACCTGTGATGTAACTGTTTTTTGGCGTAACCGGTTAATAACCATTTTTATTGAAGCAAAGACTTTGGGGGCAAGAGTCTGCTTCAGTAGCTTTCAATCTTGGAGATATATTAATGTTTGTTAAAAGAATTTGATTGGCATTTGCAAAGATTGCTAGTTTGTATAGTAGTTCAGCCAAGCTACTGGTCATTTGTTGAGCCTTGTGTTAAAGAGGTTGACCTTAGAACATCCCATGCCTCCATGGCTTCCTGAAGCATCTTATTGTCAAAAGAAAACCAAACATTATTTATCCATCTTATAATTCACTCCTAATTTATTCATTCCAGTAGGACTCCATAGGGAATACCAACATTTAGATTCCTCCACAATGAAAACTGTCCATTTATTTTTATTCTTTCCATTTTCCTTTTTCCATGATCATGTTGTATAACAGGACTTCTGTTAAGCTGAGCAAGGATCCTTAACGCATGATTTTGTCAAGACCCTTTTAAAAGCACAAATGCACATTGTCTACTGAATCATCCCTATTCTTATACTAAAGTTTCTCATCCTCAGCATCTTTAAGATGTATGGACATCAACCCCCATAATTCCCCAGCCAGCACAGAAATATTAGCTTAAGCACAAGTATCTGTTTTGTATCTTTTACAGTGAACTTTGCAGAGAAACTAAAATTTATTATATCAATCTCCTTATCTTTCAAAATTCTAAAATTTTATATAACATAATTAACCTTACTGTTTTCCTGTTTCTAATACATTTAATTTGTAGTGGCAAATTGAGATGTTGCTCTGGGGGCTGATCTGGGAGTGAGGTGTTTCTGGATCATGAATTATGATTTGGCTATCCCTGTTAGTCTGTCAGAGGCCAAAGGGCTAAAGTTGAGAGTGCACATCCCAAAAAGATTCCATGCATAGCATTTCTATGCTAATAAAGCCCTCACAAATTTTGAAGAATGTCCTTAGTAAGCAACAACAGAAGGCGTGTGGAATGGAGAGACTGGTATTTCAGGTATATCATCTCTGAATAAGCCCCACAGGAAGAATAGAAAGGGGCATTCTGAAAGTGGTATTGCTCAGTATGTCAAAAAAAGGTAAATTGTCAAACTAAAAGCTTCAAAACAGGACAGAGAGCAGTACCATATGCTACAGATAGTTCAGTGTTGGTGAATGTGCTTCATTTTTAAAAGAATTATCTTTAAGGGATCAGTTTCTGTAATATTGTAGCAGAAGAGCTATTGCCCTTGTAATGGAATGTCACTAATGTGTTCCTGACTTTCTCAGTGACAAAGCTTTCTCATATTCTTGGATCAAGAAAATAAACTTGCTGCATAAGAGGCAGTACTTGCTTGTGCACACCCACAATTAGGAGGCAGATAATTGTGTATGTGACACCCAGTGCAATATGCAAACATCAGCAGATCCATAGATGTGGATTGTCTCAAACTCACCCACTGAAATTCAGTGAAACATTATTACTGCCATCACTTTTAAATTATACATGAGCATCATTTGGCAATGGACTACCTTACTCATCCACTCCACAGGCTATTGCTGTCCAGACATTTTGTTTGCAATAATGGTAGACATATATACCTCCTGACAGCATTAATTTTGTGCCAGTATTGAAGGAGGGTGAAATTTTTGAGATGTTTGGTATGGTGTGAAATTGCTAGAAAAACACACAGGTTCAAAAGCAATTTTAAATTTTGCTTTGATGTGCTTAGATTAGCAAATAAAGTACCATGCCCAACCAGATGAGTATGTGCTATCTGATAAATGCTTAGTGAAAAATTAGAGCTAAGTCAACATATTGGAAGGAAGTTAACAATGATCTGATTTATGTATTGCATTAAGCTATGGCAGTCAGTTAAGCCATAATTAGTGAGTTTCTATATCATGCTAAGGCATATGTCATAATTTACAAACCTCTATAGCTTCAGTTTGCTAAAGGCAAATCAACAAATCTGATTGTACCTTTGAAATTACTGGCCAAATGAAAGCAAAGTTTATCATCATAAGGCTGAAAATAGAAATTATTGGGAGGTTATGATCTTAATATAAAGAAATAGGATTTGAAATAGCATGAACTGAGTAGTAGTTTGGAGGCTGTATGACTGCCTTCATGATTCTTGCAACATATGCCCCCAATCCCATATAATGGAGGTAACTATCAGATTGATAAATGGTCTATGAAGTTGATAGGTAAACCTAGTATTGTAGATCTGCCAACCACTTATATATTGTTACAGAGGCTATTCTCCAGGTATGTTTCTAGAATTATTCTGAGATTTTCATTATGTATTTCTTTGTGTTACGTGTTTATCAGATATACAGTGAAGTTTATGATTGATAAAGCAAGCCTGGGTCCAGTTGAAGACTTTAAAGAGCTGCTAAATTATCTTGAAGAATATGAAAATAACTGGTACATTGGTTTGGTGTCTGAAAAGGAATGGCCACAAGCTGTTTTACAAGAAAAGCCGTATCTCTTTTCTTTGGGGCATGACCCAGATATGGTAAGTGGCAAGAGGTTCCTGACTTAAAGTGGATTTTTCACTGGTATGTCACTATTTCATTATTGAATTTAATGGCAATTCTTAAATATGTTTTCTGTTGTTTGTCAAGTACATGAGTTATGGGTGTTTTGTTTATTTATTTAATTAATTAATTAATTAATTTGTATGCTGCCCATCTCCCCCAGAGGGTGATCCTAGTCCTCTGCTGGTATAGCTCAAAAAAGCCTTCAGGAATCAGTGGCATATTAATTAATTAGTTAATTAAATGTTTTAATTATGGATTTAGATGGTAACCCTAAACATCAGTGAAGGACTTGTTTCTGGAAAAATCTGCATATAATTACCGTATTTTTCCATCAATAAGACGCCCCCATGTACAAGACGCCCCCCACTTTTCCAAC